ATTTTACAACATTTCGCAACCAAACTAATTTTAGGATGCTCTTTTGAGCTATAATGATAGATTTCGTCTTTCTTGTAGATAAAAAATTAGTCGATAGTTGAAATCATCCATTAGCTAGGAAAATAGTATTGAAACTGTTGGCGACCTTCATAGATTTTGCCATTTTGGACGTGAACTCCGCCATCTTGTTTTCACTTTCCTCATAAGCCGAATTACTCCAGATTATATATATATATATATATATATATATATATATATATATATATATATATATATATATATATATATATATATATATATATATATATATATATATATATATATATAGCTCAGTAGCTCACTGACTCTGATCTGTTCACTAGTGCACGAAATAGACCTTCATCAACACGCTTTTGGATTTAAAATTTGCTATTAGTGTTCTACGGTATAAATGCCAGAATTTAAAAGAGTAGGTCAAAAGCTAGCCTGTGTACAGACTGTATTATGGATAATAGAGTCTGTGCACAGCCTAGTCAAGAGCAGTTCTGTTTGAAAATTATGCTTGGTAACATTGGAAGATGTTACAGTAGCTCAGGTTCGACTTTATTCCCAATTCTCCTCTAGAATCTTTCAACATTGTTGGTGGAACAATGAGAACCATCAAACTTTATAGTAAAACAAAGAAACGCTTTTATATTCTTAATCACATTTATAATACAGTATAAGAGCTTAGTTGAAAATGAAAAAGTAGAAGCTTTACGGGAAAATAGCACTAGAAACATAAAAGCGCTTGTCTATACGCTTGTGAAGCAACTTGTATCACAAAAGATACAAATCACTAGTTTTGTTTGAACCCGTTGACACAAACTCCTCAACTCCATGGCACCTTGACAGCTTACGAGAGGTCAAAACATACAGTAGCAATAATAGTTAGTAAGGCGCGTACTCAGTATATCGTCCAGTTGAATTTAACAGCACATAATACCATGCTAAAAAAATTTGGAACCAATTAAGTGAAAAATTGTGTGCACAAATTTTCAAAGAGACACGAGTATGCATTCAATATATATCTCCACTTGCATGAGTCAAAGCCACTCGTTAAAGCTCACTTTAAAAATCCTCGCCCCAAGAGTTTTGTGATATGGACGTTGCAATACCTATGAGAACTCCTTGCGATGGTACTTTTCTGGCTCAAAGTAGGAAACGACCACCACGCGATTTGAAAACTTACGTCCAGTGAGAGCTTGATGGGCGACCTTGCTTTCGCTTGCCGATGAGAACTCCACAAATATCTGAAAGAAAATATTTCTGTCAGAGTAGTCTGTTATATATTAGACTTTGTAAGTCTTCTTTCATATGTGACGAAGTCGAGCATATATATAGCTAACCGTAAAACTAGTAAATTTGTACGGTAAATCTTTTATAGTAAACTTGTATTGCTCTTAGTTTGCAAAATATAAAAGACTAAACTAACTCTATTTATTCGATTAGTTTTAAACTGTTCTCCAGGGGTGGAAAAAGTCTTAGGACCACGGGACCATTGGTCCCAGAAAATTTTTTGAGTTCCCAGAAAATGTTTCCCCAAGAAAGAAAAAAAAGATAATTGTAATAATGTAGATAAAAGGAGAAATTCAGAGGAAAAGTTCTAACCAATAGAAAGAATGTTACCTGTACTGTAGCTATGAGCTCAGAAATGCGATTATAAGGGCATCCATTATAATAGTGCGATAGTGTATAAATGTATAGACTATAGAACGATGTAACAAATGTTGTGTAACAAATGCATTTTTGGACAATCTGGGACACCCGATTTTCAAAATTTTCTGGGGGAGAACAGACCCCCCTCATAGTGCCCCCCTAGTATTGCTCTTTTTTTGACATGATCGGATCTGTGGATTTACTTGATTATTTGCAGAAAATTTCCAATGTTCTCTTGCGGTCCCAGAAAGTAAATTTTTTTCCGCCCCCTGCTGTTCTTCCTAGAGAGATCCAATAAGACCCATCCCTGATTTATATAGTGTTACTACGGGAGTAAACTGTAATGTGGTAACTAGTTTTCGAATTGGTCAATTGCAGGAATCGATCCTAACATCCCTACAAATCAAATTAATCCTCAGTACCTTGCCACATCCAGGTGGTTCAAATTCAGGTGTGGGTCTCGGAATTTCAACACTGACAACATTGCCATACTTGGAACATTCGTCGCGAACATCTTCGTAGATTTCTAGGAATGAACAGACGAGTAATCGTAAATACAGAAGAAGTTTGATAAGAAATGTATTATTATTCAACAGGAAAATAAGTGTAGTTAAAAGGTATACAGTAGTCAAACATTTTACACCATACAACTTTTGCCTAAAACTGTCGCATGCAACCTGCTTACAACTTGAGTTGTACTGTGTAAATCAAGCACATAACTCGCCTCTACGTTGTTGTAGGTGAGTTGTATGCTTGATTCACACAGTACAATTCAAGTTGTAAGCAGGTTGCAATGCATGCGACAGTTTTTAGGCAAAAGTTGTGTAGTCTAAATCGACCTTTATACAACAGGCCCCAGAACTGATTTGGAATTCAGGAGGAATGAAAATTTTGAATTATGTTTTAACAAACCTTCATACTCTTCATCATCAAACAGCTCATCTTTTAGCACCATGTTCATGAGACACAGGATCTCTGTAGGTACTTCGTTCGTTACTTTGTTTAACTCGAGACCTGGAATCTGTAACTGTACTGGTACCATGTTGATCGCATCCGGCTACAGAGAAAAGTAAAACCACGTTTAACTCATTTTGTGTAATAGAGGTCTAGCAAGGACCAGAACTAAATTGACTTTATTTATAATGCAGAATTGCGAACTCTAGTCGAGGCCATAGATATCTTATATACACTAGATAGCGCATCTCTTTTAGTAAAATTGAAGCCAAGAATATTCCAGCGGTTACCCCCACTTGAATAGATGGCGGCCATATTGGAGTTTCCCACTCGCTAATAAACGCTTAAAAAACAACAATAACTTTTATCATTTGAATAGTTTGAAAATGTATTTGGAATAGGTTTAACTTAATGTTTAAGTAAACATACTAGTCTTCTCATTTCATGGGAATATCCTGAGTCTGCAATCACGGCTTCAATTTTTGAATTGCAGAATAATTAGATGCACTATCTAGTGTATATAAGATATCTATGATCGAAGCATGTGATTTGGCCTCGAATCAGAGTCGCAATTTTTGTAACTTGGTTTGTTAATGATATTAACGACTTGCGACTTGGCTTGGACTCGAACAAAATGACTTTTATGACTTGATTTGGACTCGAGAAAAACTTGCAAGAAATGACTTGTTGCCTACGCAAGTGAAACGTAAAATCGTAAATATCTAGTGAACATTAACTTATCTACAACTTGCACTGGAAATTCATCGATGCACTGTGACTATTGCAGCCAGATTGGCATATCACAGTATGACTGTGAAGCCAGTAATGTTACATAGTATATGTAATATTTCAAATCTGACTGTGAGGACTGGACTAGATTTCAAATTGGACTTGAAATCTAGTCCAGTCCGAAATGAAGGATTTGAAATGACATCTCATACCTGTACGAATTAATCACTACTTAAAGTAAAGTGAATTAATTTTGATCCAGTCCAAGGACTGAATTAATTTTGATCCAGTCCAAGGACTGAATTAATTTTGATCCAGTCCAAGGACTGAATTAATTTTGATCCAGTCCAAGGACTGAATTAATATAGTTTTATATACTTCACCAGGTATCCAGTATTATCATGTGAGCAAAATAAAGCAATATGGTTGGCTAATTTACTCACGAATTATTAATGAGTTTGAGATTACTGTATATAATTGCCATGGGTACGAAAAAACTGTGCAGAATGACATGCGAGTTGATTTGGTCGCAGACAAAATGACATGTGAATTGGCTTGCTTCTCGGAGTGAATGACTTGTTCGTCTCAGACGTGTAGTGTTACTGTAGGGGGGAAACAGAAGTGGAACTTACATTATTCATGTTCTGTTTAGCTCCAACACTTGCACGTTGGACAATCAGTTTCTTCTCACCAAGTTGCATGCCATTTAGACCTTGGATTGCCTAGAAACGAAATGCAATTAAGGACTTGCAATGATGAACCGACAGTTATCGGAATGGGAAAATAATGTTTTAATGATATGTAGTAATCATGTAATAACTTTCATGCTCACGTTAGTATCGACATTTCTGAAGTAAACTACCTTCTGTTGCCCTGTAACTCACCAATATACCAGTTTTATTAACGAAAGGGTACAGACTACATTTCTGAAGTTAATCATCCTTACTTGCAATTGAGAGCTAAACTGAAAATTTTACGAAAGACGCAGCACAACCTGATCCAGTCGAAGGCTTACTAAGAGTGCCTCTGGCAACCACCTTATGACTCATGTCTCCAGGGACCTGTAGTTGCATTCTTGGCAGCTGTTCCTGGTTAGGTCTAATAAATGTATATACAGGACCCTTCAAGTAGAGATCCAGTAGCACTCAGGCCTTAAAATATCGGTCGGTCACGGACATTGTCCGACGCATTCGTGAAATTGTCCGACGTAGTGAGGAAGCCACCGGACATTCTGTCCGACATAAATGAAACTGGGGTTTACTGTTTGTCCGACTCGAGTGTATAGGTGTCCGACCGAACTGTAGCTTTGTCCCTTTGTCCAACGTAAATCAATCCGCAGTAACGCTCGTATGGTAAATGGAAAATAAAGGACAATTGAGTATTGTATAAAAAGTAAACTGCATGGAAATGTTGTTTTAACGTAGGCTGATCGAGCGCGGGGCGGCGGCGTGCTAGCGAAATGGAAAACGGGCTTAAGTTGTCGAAGTTTTACTTCTGTTCTTGCAAGCAAGTTAATTTTGGTTTGGAAATAAGTATGAGTGACACAAATTATTTATTAATATCTTCACAACATTTACCGTTCAGAATTAATACATTGTGCTGATATTCATTTGCGTCATTCAGACTTATTTCCGAGTCAAAACTGAACTGAAGGTCATCGGACATATGTCCGACCCAAACTCAACGTCATCGGACATTTTGTCAGACGGCCCTGTAAAAGATATTTTAAGGCCTGAGCACTAGAAGCTACTAAGTTCCCATCGATCGAAACGTCGAAGTTCTACTTATATTTTCAGGTAGTTGAAGCCTCTCTCAATCCTACACTGGCACAGATTATATTACAGACTATACGTAGTATTTTCAACATACCACGTCAGTAATCGACATATCAACATATTCACAAAACGCGTATCCTTTAGAAAGACCCGTTGCACTGTCTTTGACCAGATTGAACGCCTTTAGTTCGCCAAATGAAGCCAATAATTCCTTAACCTATACAACAGAAGCAGCCTGTGAGATAAAAACAATATGCCCAGCAGAAAAACGCGAACTAATTGAACATTATAGAGCGTTGCACATGACGTCACAGCCGCCATGTTGGTGCTCCAATTCAAAAGAATTTTAATTAGATTCTTTTGTCTGGAACACCAACATGGCCGCCATGGCTTTTGTTCAGTTGGTCGCTGGGGAATGAGCACATTTTTTAAAAAGAACTGCTTAATTTTTGTTGTTTTTAGAGTGAAAAAGGTTTCTTTCATATCGGCAGAAATTTTCGTATGAAACTCGTTGCTGAACTTACAAAAATTTCAACTGAATTTATTCTGAAAAAAATGGAATTATTGAAACGGAAAAACCATTTACGAAGTGTCAAATAATCTTAATTTGTGCTCCCTTAATGTTAAATACAAGGCAAAAACAATGAAAGCAGCTACACGATTGTTTTGAAAAGAAATAATTTAAATGAGATTTTGGGTGTACATTTAAGTGGCAATGCAGGGGACATCGTACACAAGAGGTGCTAATTTTTCTGGGGGTGCACCCCTCCATAGGCTCCACCAGTAATTTCAATATATCCAGGTTCATGTCGACTTTTTTGGGGGGAGGGGTAGACTATGACATAGTCTGTGGCGTAATTGTGAAAAGTGGAGACGGGGGAGTGCTGAATTTATTTGGGGTACGCCCTCTCCTCCACAGACGCTTTTAAACTAGGAGGAAAATGAGCATTCACCAATTACCTGTGGAGGAGCGAGTGAGCGAGTACACAAAAGTTTGTACAATGTACACATTACTTTTCATTTTTTTAAAGTCGCCTCCCCCCACAATCATAAAGTTTGTTACACCCAAATCATTTAGGCGCTTTCATTATTTTCTCTACATAACACAACCACAGATCTCGCAACACAACTAACCAAAACCGGTGTTTACAACATAGAAAAATTATTAAGAAAAGCAAGGGAACGCCAAAGTGAAGTCCTTTCAACACGAAAGGGATGGAATTGTATGCGTTCGTCTGTACATTTTCTTAACAATAATTCTACGTCTACATAGTTACCGACAAATATGAAATACACATAACATACATTACTCCAGTTAGTCGTTACTCAAGAGACCAACCTAAATAACCTATTGTTTTTTATGTTGCGTTTTCTTTGCGATTCCAAAAGAGTTGCATGTTTTGTGCACTGTATAGTGTTCTAATGGCAATTGGTTAGCTAAATTAATTGAGCAAAAAGCCTATAGTTCCATTAGATGAACGATCTTGACTTGGGCAATGAAACTTAAAACAATTGAAGAAGATGGTGCCACTGATGCCCGAAAATCTACAGTTGGTTAGATCTTTAAGGATGTTTTAACACGTTTTAAAACATGTACAGTACATGTAGGCCCCAAAACTTTTGTCAATTGGGAATTAGCTTATAAAAACTTGTTGTTAAGACTTTCCACAGAAATACTGTGAATAGCTTTTAAAGTCATAGAAAAACTTTGGATGGAAAGTCAACGATACAATGAACCTAAGAGTGAAGGTTATAATTTTGCTTGCCTAAAGACTATGAAGAGTTGTATGGTATCACACAGCCAATAATTTTCGTGTGCTTTTTGTTTTTTCTTTTACTTTCATTCATTTGTAGCAAAAAACTAAGGCTCAAATACGTTTCATAATGCTGGATTCACCTAAAATTGATGTTTTGGCCTTTAGGTTTTTGTTAACTTCAAAATTATACCAATATATAAAAATCCCTGCCCACTGTATTTTGAAATAAATTCAGTTGTTCGCCTCATTAGTATTCAGTACAAGTCAGCATGTACAATCTACGCATGCTCAGCTAGGATGAAGCAATTGGTTATTGCGATCTTTACTCACTCTACAATACGAACAAACTAATGTGAATAGCTGACTTCGTTTCGACATTCCTCATAGTTTACCCAACTACTAGAGCTAACCTAGCTTGCCAAAAGAAATTTTCTAATGTTGCATGCAATATACAGTGTCAGTGATTATGCATGAAACAACGTCTAAAACGTCTCTGATGTAAGGAAGAATGAGACCAAGCATGTAGCCATTGGGTCAGACATTTCTCTTTGCCAAATACATAACTTTCTTTATTACTTGCCTTCCAACCATTGACAGTTTTAGGCTCCCCTAAGCTAGGGAGTAAAATTTTGGAAAAAAATCGAGAAGAAAGACGTCAGTTATGTGTTTTAGAATTAAATTACTACACTACATACTAACCTACCCATCTTGGGATACCATGGCATAGTTGAGCCATCCCCTACCCCTTTCAATAACAATCACTTCAAAAAGAGGCATAAATTTCAAAAAAACAATTTTTTTACCAAATAAGAAATTTGTGTACTCAAAAATATGGACAAGATTGGCCGCACAAAAAATATATATCAAATAGAAAACATACATATAAAATATAACCCCGGAAGTATTATGTAATAAACTGTATCAAATAATAAAATTAACAATTATAATATCTAATTAATTAAAAATACTGATACCAAAAAATGCAATACTTCAGTGACCTAAAAATCTGCTGATCGTTTCAAGAGAAAATTCAGTATCACATCCATATGAATACCACAAAGACCCTAAAATGAACGTTGTGTTGAAGAAACCAATCTAAAATCTGTAAAGAGTTTAAAAAACTAAAAATGCCTTCTTTTGTGATGACCTAAGAGTTCCTTGGTGCAAAAAAATTCTTCTTATCAGAATCTAAAAATTCCTGGAATTTGAAGTACCTAAAAGTTGCCTAAAACCTGTGAAAATAAAAACCCTAAAGAAATCTTCTTTTGTGATGACCTAAAAATCCACGTAATCCAGTGTTTTCTGCATAATATGACCTAAAAATCCTGTATTTTCTTTCTTTCATTGGAATCTAAAAATTCCTGAAACAAACGCTAAAAAAGTGCAGACACAAAGCGCGATACGCACACCCTTGTCCATAATTTTGAAGCACAAAATTTTGAGATCGTTTTTCAATTGCCTGATAAAATAAATTTGAACTTTTTTTCATTTTTGATTTTTGTTGATTTACAGCTATGTCTCTTTTTGAAGTGAAAATCACCCCGACGCAATAGAGAATTTTTTTGAGATTGCAACAGACCTGGTCTTCGTTCAGATAGTTCGGCAGGCCGCCGATGAAGACTTTGTGAGGCGAGTCAGGAACAACTGTTGACACAACACCTAGATTGATGAAAAGTCAGATACGACTGTCAATGATTACTAACTGCATGTTAAGAAAACGATTTAGGAAAAAATAAGATCCTGCTGTAAACAACAGTAAACAACCATAAAGTATACAGATGCAAGTACTGTCGGTTATCATACCTGGAACATGGACCATTGAAGAATCTACAAAAAATAATTATAAAAGTTCACATAAAAAGATAAAAATTAATTAATGGCGAAAAGGCAATAGCTGAATACACTTAGTTAAGATGGTTTTCCATATAGGAAGAGAAACTTGTCTAGATATAAATTTGATCAGAATGTTTGTCCCTGATTCAGTGAACAACAGGGTTTTTGTCTATATTTGACAAATATTAAATTTATATCAGACAAATAAATCAAGACTTATGCCTGTATTCTAAAAGCTCACTAACACTTACGCTCAAAGAGTAAAGGTTCAGTCTGAGATTCTGACCTTTCCTTGAATGTCAGTGCTGTTTTTGAATAGCTGGAGGGTGAGTAGGGGTGCACCGGATTTGAAATCCGGCCGGAATTCCGGCCGGATTTAATGAATTTTCCGGCATCCGGCCGGATTTGGAGAAAATCCGGCCGGATTTAAATTTCTGTTTTCACCTTAAAAATTCACCAAGAATGGGATAAACCATCAATTTGGCAGCTTTAAAGTTTAAAAAACACTTATATTATTATAAAATATTAAGTTATTAACAAAAAGATATTTAAAAAAGGTTTAAACACAATCAAAAATCGAAACTGACACTAACTAAAAATAGTAAAAAACATAAACCGCCATTTTGAATGCTGATTTATCCCCAATTGTCCCCATTACCTATTTATCTCAAATCCGGCAAATCCGGCCAGAATTTTTGTCAAAATCTGGTAAATCCAATTCCGGCCGGTTTTGAAAATTCTAAATCCGGTGCACCCCTAAGGGTGAGTAGTCACATAGTAAGGTATAACCCTCCAGCTATTAAAAAACAGTAATGACACTCAAGAGAAGCTCAGATTGAACTTCCACTCATTGAGTGTGAGTGATCTTTTAGAATACAGGCATTATAGTTGCTTATTTTGCCTTTCTCTTTTGCTCCAAATTGACATCGCATGCAAACTGATAGGTGGTTGGCATTTACCAAAATCCGACTAGAATTGAGAAGCTTGTACAGTATTCATACCTCCACCCAGACCAGGAACGGCTTGATAATCTTTGGGACGTCGAATTTTCAGTGACTGACCCTAAATACAAATTCGATTGTAACAAATATAAAACATGCGCACAGGATCACAAAATATGTAGATATTTTAGATTCAAACGAATCAAACCTGTAAAATAATGCCATCAAATGCCATCGCTTGCGTTGTTTCTTCAACGGACCGAAACTATGCAAAGGTTAGAAATATGTTATTTCCATGAAAATGTTTGATGAGTAAAATTTTCTGAGTAAAATAACAGTCTTGGGACAGATGGCCTGTCAATGAACAAACCTCAAGAAACGCATAGTTCTTTTCCATATCAATTTGAGCTGTGATAACAGGTCTTCCACTAGCTGTACACAAACCACATTCTTGCATTTTGGCATTGAAGAATTCCACCATTAATTCCTACGTGTGAATAAAATACAAAATAATTCTCAGATATCATATCAATGTTCCAGATTTGCAGAATCCTACTGTAATAGACCAATTGCGAAACTTAGTGGCCACGCCTTCATACTGCACAAGAACGAGGCTTATTATGCAAAAACAAAACAATTTCTATATTTTTATATAGCGAAAAGTGAATTTTAGGGTTTTTAAAGTGTTTTTTTTCTTTAATCTCTTTGATCTTTTCTTAATATTTCGTGCTAGGTTATATAAATATTTGTTAAATTTATCTAAACATCGATTTCCCACTATATTTTTACCCGCTTTGGAGAGATATTTCGTTGTTGTTTTAGCATGCGATGGAACAAACATATGGAAAAGATCAATCTAGACTTTAAAATCTGATCAAGATGCAAATAAAATAGCCAGTATAACTTAACAGACTAAAATATAACTCTTTCTACCCAGATTTTTTTAGACTTCGTGCGAGAAAAAAACGATTTTGTCAAAGGATAATAGGTCAATTTCACATGAGACATTGAAAATGGCAAATTTGCGAAATGCAACATTATGTGGTGCTAACCACATGTTTCCATAGTTAACACATTGGATTATCATAAACCAAAACGAATTTTGAATTTTGGCCCATGCCCACTCTGCGGCAAACCGTCGAATCTGCACTTGTTTGTTGCTATTGTTCTGTGGATAAAGTGTGTTTATTTAAAATAATTATAACTC